AGCCACTGTGCCTGGCCCAGATTTTTTTTTTTTTTTTTTTTTTTTAAATAGAGACAAGGTTTCACTGTATTTCTCAGGCTGGTCTTGGACTCCTGGGCTCAAGTGATTCTCCCACCTTGGCCTCCTAAAGTGCTGGGATTACAGGCATGAGCCACTGTGCCTGGCCAAACTTTCAAATTTATGTGCACCTTAATTATAAGCACTTTAGGAACACAGAACCCCCTTTTATTTAGAAAGTTATAAATTTTCAGGGAGTATGATAAATATTTCCTTTCTAATTTCACATAGGCGAACAGTTGTCTCCAAACGTGGTGTTGCCATCAGTGATTCCACCAAGAGGAGGGGAATGGCAGATTCACCGGAGTCAACCCCCTTGCCTTCCCTAGAAGATCGCCTGGCCAAACTCTGTCCTTCTAAGGAGCTCTTTGAATATTATCAAAAGAAGATGGCTGAGTGTGAGGCAGAAAATGAGGACTTATTGAAGAAACTGGAACTCTACAAAGAAACTTGTGAAGTACAGGTAAAGAGACAATGCACACGTTTTTGAACTCTGATGAAGTCTTCATTAATTAGAGATGCTATAGAGATACCAGCTTGTATCATAAGCAGATGTTTTATAAAACTATTCCCTTTTTATTCCCCAGCCCAGCTACCTGCCCTTCAGGCCCTCCTTGGATCATAACCCCCAAAACTGCTCTTCTTCTAAAATCTTAAATTCTGATATCTTCATATTTCCTATACTTGTAATTCTTTCATCTTATACCTGACTAGTCCTTAACTTCTTTGTTACCTTCATAGCTTCCTGACTTTTCGGTTTTCTAAGTGCCACATACAGCTCTGGCATCATGTCCTTCAAACCTAAACCCCATGATACTTTACTTTGGTAGTAACTGCACTGCCTGTAAATGACCTCTTGCTCAATTAATTCTTTTGCTCCACCTGTATAGCAAAAACGTAGCTGTGGGATCATCTAGTTTTCTGCCACCCTTTCTCCTATAGCAGGATTTTTTGACCTCAGCATTATTGACATTTTGGCCTGAATGATTCTTTGTTGTGAGGGGTTGTCCTGTGCATGACAGGATGTTTAGCAGCATCCCTGGCCTCTACCCACTAGATGCCAGTAGCACAACACCCCCAGCTGCGACAATCAAGGCTTGGCATAGTGGCTCACGCCTGTAATCTCTACACTGTGGGAGGCCAAGGCGGGTGGATCACGAGGTCAAGAGATCGAGACCATCCTGGCCAACATGGTGAAACCCCCTCTCTACTAAAACTGTAAAAATTAGCCTGGCGTGGTGGCATGCACCTGTAGTCCCAGCTACTTGGGAGGCTGAGGTGGAAGGATCACTTGAGCCTGGGAGGCAGAGGTTGTAGTGAGCCGAGACTGCGCCACTGCACTCCAGCCTGGCGACAGAGCAAGACTCTGTCTCAAAAAAAAAAAAAAAAATCTCCAGACATTGCCAGATATTTCTGGAATGGGTGTATGTATGTGCAAAGTCACTCCTGATCTAGAACACTATTGTAGAACGGTCACAAAACAATCAGTATGTAAACAAATTCAGCTGTACCCTCAACCACTATATAACAGTTTTCTTTGTGTTCCATACTGGGTTTCCTCTCCTTCCACATCTGTGTCATACCCTCACCTCCAGCCTGCAACCTCTTCTTAGTGCTCCTCTCTCAGCATCCTTCCTGCTCGTCTACACACAGTTAGTCCCTCCATATCCATCTTCTTTCCCTTCTTTTTTCTTTGTTTGGTTTTTGTTTGTTTGGTTTTTTGCTTTTTGAGACAGGGTCTTGTCACCCAGGCTGGAGGGCAGTGGCACAATCATGGCTCACTGCAGCCTTTAAATTCTGGGTGCACGTGATCCTCCTGCACTCAGCCTCCCCAGCAGCTGGGACTACAGGCACACGCCACCATGCCCCGCTAATTTTAAAAAAAATTGTTGTAGAGGCTGGGCGCAGTGGCTCATGCCTGTAATCCCAGCACTTTGGGAGGCTGAGGTGGGCGCATCATGAGGTCAGGAGATTAGACCATCCTGGCTAACATGGTGAAACCCCGTCTCTACTAAAAATAGAAAAAAATTAGCCAGGCATGGTGGCGGATGCCTGTGGTCCCAGCTACTCAGGAGGCTGAGGCCAGAGAATTGCTTGAACCTGGGAGGCAGAGGTTGCAGTGAGCTGAGATCACGCCACTGCACTCCAGCCTGGGTGACAGATTGAAACCCTGTCTCAAAAAAAGAAATGTGTTGTAGAGACGTGATCTCCCTGTGTTGCCCAGGCTGGTCTTGAACCCGTGGGCTCAAGCAATCCTCCCACCTCAGCCTAACAAGGTGCTGGGATTGCAGGTGTTAGCCACAGTGCCTGGCCTGTAGTCACCTTTCTGACCATCTTCTTATTGCTTCAGGAACAAGGCATCTTTGCCTATTTGAGCTGGATTTATCCCATGCCTACTGTAGCCCTCATCCCTTTTTCCTCCTGAGAAACCCTGCTCCATCATTTTTCTCCACTTACTGTTGTATTTTTAATTTCTTTCTTGACGTTAGCTTTTTCTTCTCAGTATATAAACATACTCAAGTTTTTTCCAACTTAAAAGAAAAATTAAAAACTGTTCCTTCATTGTGCTTCTCTCTCTAGCTACTCTTTTTATATAAATGACTCTTTCTTTTCCCAGTCACACTTCCAGAATCAGTTAACTTTCCCATTCACTGAATGGGAAATTTCTCAACTGTAGTTTCGTCTCTGTCCTCGCCATGCCCCTAAAACTGTGCCTTCTGTGGTGTCCAGGTACCTCTTTGCCAAACTGATCTCTTCTTTTTTTGCCCTTTGCAGGGTTTGTCACTTTTGACCTCTCCTTTTCTAAAACTTTCTTCCTTTCTTGATTTCTTTTTTTTTTTTGAGACGGAGTTTCGCTCTTGTTACCCAGGCTGGAGTGCAATGGCGCGATCTCGGCTCACCGCAACCTCCGCCTCCTGGGTTCAGGCAATTCTCCTGCCTCAGCCTCCTGAGTAGCTGGGATTACAGGCACACGCCACCATGCCCAGCTCATTTTTTGTGGTTTTAGTAGAGACGGGGTTTCACCAGGTTGACCAGGATGGTGTCGATCTGTTGACCTCGTGATCCACCCGCCTCGGCCTCCCAAAGTGCTGGGATTACAGGCGTGAGCCACCGCGCCCGGCCCTTTCTTGATTTCTGTGTCATTTTTCTTTCATGATTTCTATCTAACCTCTCTGGTCAGCTCATCTCCGTGTCCATGAACAACTCTCCTTCCTTACTCAGAGTTCTTCCAGATTCGACTGTAAATGATCTTGTATATTACACTACTCCATATGTGATGATGACTGTTAAATCACTAACCCTGACTCACTTTTCTTCTGAGCTTCCTTTCTCTACCCCCTTCCCCACCCACACATGTACTGCCACCATTTCACCTCCCTTCATTCCTCATTCTGTAACTTTTTCTTTATTTTTTGTCTTGGTAAGTGGCATCATTGCCTCCGGTTCTGCCAAGCCCCCTACACTGAAATCATTTGGCAAGTCCTATTGATACTGCTTTCTAAATATTACTTAATCCATTCCCACACCTACATCACTCTTGCCACGAAGCTCATGCACCCTCTAGAATTGCTTTTAAACTGAGACAGTATCTTCCTTGCCAGTACCTGCTCTGGCCTCTTACATCCCCAGTTGGCCTCACACTTTTCACTCTAGCAGTACTGAAATATTTGTAGTTGTCCAAATTTATTAGGCTTTTTTTTGGACATTTACTTGTCATTTTTGTCACATTATGTATGTATACAATGAACTACATTGTAGTTCATTCCATTTGGGCTCCTGAATAGCCTCAGGATGGGGGCTGGTTGCCAGATAACAGTGATGCAGCATCTCTAATATATTTACTGGGACTCAGGGTGAACCACCATGCCTAGCCTAATTTTTTTTTTTGCAGATTCTACAAAAAAAGTGTTTCCAACCTTGTAAGTACCACTGTGGACCTGTATGCTGTCCCTTTCTCCAAATCAGTTGTTAATATTTACTTGTCATTTTTATCACGCTATGTATGTATCTGTGGACTTCTGGGTTTTTTGTTTTTTGAGTCAAGGTCTTGCTCTGTTGCCCAAGCAGCAGTACAGTGGTGCAGTCATAGCTCACTGCAGCCTCAAAGTCCTGAACTCAAGCAATCCTCCTGCCTCAGCCTCACAAGTAGCTGGGACTACAGGCGTGTACTACCATGCCAGCTATTTATTTATTTATTTACTTATTTACTTACTTATTTATTTAGAGACAGAGTCTAGCTCTGTCACCAGGGTGAAGTTCAGTGGTGCAATGTCAGCTTACTGCAACCTCCGCCTCCTAGATTCAAGCAATTCTCCTGCCTCAGCCTCCTGAGTAGCTGGGATTACAGGCACATGCTGCCACGCCCAGCTACTTTTTGTAGTTTTAGTAGAGACGGGTTTCACCTTATTGGCCAGGATGGTCTTAGTTTGTGACCTCGTGATCTGCCCACCTCGGCCTCCCAAAGTGCTGGGATTACAGGCGTGAACCACCACACCTGGCTTGCTTATTTAATTATTTATTTATTTTGAGACAAAGTGTTGCTCTTGTCACCCAAGCTGGAGTGCAATGGTGTGATGTCAGCGCACTGCAACCTCTGCCTACCGGGTTCAGGCAATTCTCCTGCCTCAGCCTCCTGAGTAGCTGTGATTATAGGTGCCCACCACCACACTGAGCCAATTTTTGTATTTTTAGTAGAGACTGGATTTCACCATGTCGGCCAGGCTGGTCTCCAACTCCTGACCTCAGATGGCCCACCCACCTTGGCTTCCCAAGGTGCTGGGATTACAGGTGTGAGCCACTGTGCCTGGCCCAGATTTTTTTTTTTTT